CGACCCCCCCCATCAGACCCACAGCCCCCAAAAAACAAGCCACAGACATATTCCTGGGGAACTGTGAGGATGTTTTTGTTTGGTTGGCTTTGGTGGGGATGTTTTTTAAAGAGCATCATATAGATATTTATATATATAAATTATTAATGTGGGACGGGCAAGGGGCGCACATTGCCGAGGGGGGTGCACACACGGGGATGGGGCGGGGGCAGCACACAAAGCAAAGCAAACAGCCACATCTACCAGATGAAATAATCACACCAATGGGTTAGGGGAGGGGCAGTGGCCACCAAGGATTGGGCATAGAGGAGAAGAAAAGCAGGGGGTAAGGAAGAGGGACCTGGTCCATGATACTGTGCACTTTCTTTCTGTCCCCACCCTTGCCACTTCCCACCTCCGCACACAACCCCGGGCCTTGACCTCATCTGTCCCTTCTTCCCTCCCTCCCTCTGCCCAGCTGCAGAAGTTCTGCAAGTAGGCAGCACCCTCTCCTCGGCTGGGGGGGGGATCTAAAGGTTGGGGGGAGTCCTCCAAGGTCTGGATGAAGGAGCAGTGGGTGCTCTCTGGATAGCAGGTTCTACAGCGGCTTGTCGCTTTCCTTCTTCAGGTGACTGGATAAGAGGCAAGGCATCAGAGAGAGAAGACTGAGAAAGGAAGGTTCCCCTCCAAAGGGCTCAGTACCCTGCTGTGTCATACCCACATCCCACCTCCCCCCCAAAGGGCCCGGTACCCTGCTGTGTCATACCCATAACCCACCTCCCCCCAAAGGACCCAGTACCCTGCTGTGTCATACCCACATCCCACCTCCCCCCCAAAGGGCCCGGTACCCTGCTGTGTCATACCCATAACCCACCTCCCCCCAAAGGACCCAGTACCCTGCTGTGTCACACCCACAACCCACCTCCCCCCAAAGGGCCCGGTACCCTGCTGTGTCATACCCACATCCCACCTCCCCCCCAAAGGGCCCGGTACCCTGCTGTGTCATACCCACATCCCACCTCCCCGAAAAGGGCCCGGTACCCTGCTGTGTCACACCCACATCCCACCTCCCCGAGCTGGGGGCAGCCTGTAGCACCTGTAGTAGTCTTCCTGTGCAGGGAGTGGCACGCTGTGCAGTGGGTGATGGGCATGCAGCCACTGTTGCTGTTCCAGCGCCAAGCGCTGCAGCTCAGCGGACTGTGCGTGCATGGCCTGCAGCTGATGAGCTGCTGACATTGGAGCAGAGAGGGAGGCTGGCAGGTCCCGGTAAGGGGCAGCTATGAGAAGAAAGGACAGGAGGCATGATGGATGGATAGGAACGGTCAGCCACTTTACAGAGGACACTAAGGCTACAATGTGAAGTCGCACCACCTACCCTACAGTCTGCCGGGGGTAGAATGGAACCGAAGCCCAACCTCTTTGCCTGGCCCTAGAACTTGAGCCTCTGCTCGAAGGACCTCAGCCTCTCTCTATTGCAGCTCCTCACCTCGCTCTCTCCAGACTCCACCCTCTACACCCTAATTCCTCTGCTCTTGCCTTCCTTCACTTGAGCATCTCCATCCTTACCAAAGAGCTGGTGACGAAGGACTTCGTTCTCGTGCAGAGGGTGAGGAAGAAGGGGGTTAGGGAGGGTCCCGGCTGGGTAGGGGATCCGGGTGAGGTGAGACCCTGAGGCCAGCGGGTCAATGAGAGGGTGCACCGAGGCGGAGGCTGGAGGGCAGAGAAAGGAACATCACCAGGAGGCGGGGGTAGGGACAACCGTGCACTGGGGTGGAGGGATTTAGCCTGTGAAGACAGACAAGGGCTCCAACGCAGGAGAAAGGCAGGATGCAAGAGCTAGAGACGCCCTTTGATGAGATGGAAACAAGAACTCGCTGGAGAGAGACACGGATGACTGAAGACAGATCACAGTTAGCAGAGATGTCTGAGGGGGAAAGGAGAGGATGGATTACTCCGAAGAGATGAAGGATAGGTTTAGAAAACAATTTACTTTTTTTTTTTTTTTTTTTTCCAGACAGGGTTTCTCTGTATTGTTGTGGAGCCTATCCTGGAATTCGCTCTGTAGACCATACTGGCCTCGAACTCACAGAGATCCGCCTGCCTCTGCTTCCCGAGTGCTGGGATTAAAGGCGTGCACCACCAACTCCCGGCACTATTTACTTTTTAAGTTTAAGAAATGAGACAGGAGAAAAATATAAAGAGGCGGGGTGAATATGAGCAGAATTCAGTGTATGAAAAGGCGAAAAGCCTGTTGCATACTTACTAAATAAATAAATAAATAAATGTTCTAACTAGGGAGGAGGGCAAGAAAAAAACAAGGAACTCATCAAAATGAATGGTTCTAAGGCCAACCAGGCAGTGTTCTGAGCTATAAACGCTACAGTAAAATAGTGAGTAAAGCTCATTATTGCCTATGGCACCAAAACCAAACTTACATGGTTTTTTCTAAAAGGTTCTAAATCTACATATGGGCAGAAACACAGACGACTCCTAGATGTAAGGAAAGCAGATGCTGACAACAAAGGGACAAGAACATTGATGTGTGAGGGGCTTAGAGAACGAGGATGAAGGTAGAGAAGGAGGCGGTCCTCCACCAGGCTCCAGCTTGGTCCATTATCGCAGGTGGAAGGTTGGGCTATGACGAGCGTATGAGACAGTGTGGAAGGAAAGCCCAGGAAGCAAAAACGGGAACAGTAATCTCAGAAGGTGACTGATGCCGGACTGGAAAGGAGGTTCTGGCCAGAGGAACGGAAGGACAGTACGGGATAGGGCAAAGCAAGGAAAGAGGGTGTCTCACCTGCGTGGATGGCATCCTGTTGGTGCAGGTGAAGGTGGGAGTGGATATGGGAGTGCTGGTGGTGATGGGGAGTCACGTTGAGCATCTGCAGCCTGGCCAGGGGGTCATTGCCCAGGGCCGCCACCCTTTCTGCATGCTGCCTTTCGGCTGCCAGCCGCTCCGCGTAAGACATGTCAGGGCGCAGGGCTGGCCCCGCTGCCAGCGCCAGCCGTTCTCGCTCCAGGGGCCCCAGGCTCGGATGAAAAGGGAAAGGATGCAGGCCAGGTGGCCCGGGCTGTAGAGCCAGGCCCCCGTGTCGGGGGAAGGGATCCAGGCCTGGCCCGGGGACCCCATGCAGGGGTTCTAGCTCACTAGGCTTCACCTCAAAGCCAGGCTTGAGCCGGTCACGGAGGTCACGTTCACGGGCTTCCCGCTCCCTTTCTCGGGCAGCTGGGTCGCTGCTGTACAGGGCTGGGACATTGTAACCCAGAAGCCCCGGGTCCACTGCCCCCAAGGGCACATAGAAGGGGTGGTTGCGATTGCCAGGAGACATGACGTGAGGTCGGGCGTATTCGCTGAGAGTGCGCAGGGCTGGAGTGTCAGGACCCAGGTAAGGGGGCACTGTAGCCACGGCGCTGCCAGGCTCAAAGGGAGGCCGATGGGGTACTGGACCCAGAGATGGGCACTCCACCGGCGCACGGCCCTCCTGGGCCAGCTTCTGCAGAACACGGAAGGGAGCGGAGTCAGAACTGCAGTTTCGGAAAGTCACCGACCCCAGGCCGCCCGGCACGGGGCTCGGCGGGG